TCAAGTCATTCATAATCTTCCTGTGCATCTTTTCTTAAGGCCACGCTTTATATTTTGTGTGAACTGATCAAACTGCAGATTGCTAGAGCAATAAAGGCCTCGTGGTCACTTGTTTTAATCAGGTGGAGGTGGGAAAACAGAGGTGGGAAAGGGAAAGGTAGTCTCTGACTGACTCTTGGTGGTCAGCACTTAAATTGGATTGTGTAGTGTGAAGCTGTGCCTCACCTTTCTTAGCTATGTATGCAGCTAGAACTGGTGTCACCCTGTGTTTCAGCTACCATGCCATGGCCCTCTGATCTTGCCCAAGTCTTGTTCAGTGGGAACTCTGCTGCAAAGGGCTAGGTTTGACCGTGTTGTCATCCCTTTTGTAGCTCTTGGCTCCCAGTTTCTTTGCATCCAATGCTGTTTGGTCCTTTTCAAGGCACCTTGGGGCTTGTCTCCACCCTGCCTGGTGATGGTCTTGCACCGGGGGAGATGAGTTGGATCCTGATTAGCTATCGTGTTCTTTCCACTCAACTTCTCAAATGCATGACTTTTTGTTCTTTTCTGTACTTTCCCTCAGACTTTCCAGAGTTGTCTCCTAGTATCACCAAAACTATAGTTATCTTTTCAAACTCTTTAAGGTACACAGAAGTTTGACAGTCTTTGTGTTGATTTGGTATCTCACTGTCAACCCTCTTCTTGCTGCAACTTTCTGTTGCCTAAGCTGATTAAGCAAGAAACGGTAGGAATTTGGGAACTGATGCTATCAGCCTGTAGTTCGTGCAGCACCCAGAACAATGAGGATGCAGAACTAGAACTTCTGACCAGTCTGGGGATAATTCTAAAAGGGCATTTAAATCCTCCTACAGGGAAAAGAATAAAAGCGATCCTTTAGAAGGTTGCTGCAGCCCAGCATGTTCTAGCTGCGCTGGAAATAATGAAGCATAAAATTCTCCCTACAGCTTGGAGAGAAGAACATGCAACCACCTCTTTGACGATATTTTCAATGATAAAAGAGCAACTTTAAAGGAGGGGGAAAAAAAAAAAAAAGAAACCTGAAGGAAGCTTTGAATTCTTCATCTCCAGCCCTGTACCTGTTGTCCAGGACTTTGTCACAAATTTGTCAGATCTCTGCCATGCTTACCTGGAATGAATGCAAGTTAGGCTATATCTAATTGCTGGTGTGTGGGTTTTTTTTTTTTTTCCCCTTCATTTTTGCGTGTTTATATTAAATTCCAAGAGTATTTGGCAAACAGTTATTTGTATGTTGCCATAGCAAACCTGTTATATCCGGGAGGAGTGCTGTGTGTGTATGTAGCAAAAAGTCTTTTCACTTAATTTATGTCAACAAATCTGTAGAGGATGTTGTGTCTATTGCCTTGTTTGTTCCCATTCTTTCAATTTCCAGAGGCACGTTCCGCCTCTGATGCCAGTGTCTATTTTGGGAGGAATATGTTCTGTTGAACCTCCTTTCCCCCCGCCCCCCCTTTCCCGTTCCGAATGTCATGACTTTGGAGTCAGTTCATGACCTGTTTTGATGTGATTTGTAAATTGTGCTAAATTTTGTCTAAATACTTTGAAATATTTAGAGAGTGATGAAATCATTTTGCAAAACATTGGTGTTCTCTAGTGTTCCTCACTTGTGCTTGTTCCTGAATGTTTTGTCTCCAGCAACATCTTGAATGGTTCCTTCCTCCCTGCCCCGACTTACTGGTTTGTTACACTCGGAGCGCAACTTCTGTATCCTCAGGAACCAACTTTCTCAAATATGGCATTTGATAACTTGATAACGCACAGATGTTACGAATAGTGCCTTTCTGTTACGTTTCCCACTTCATTCAGAAAGGTTTCTTTCAGTGATATTTACCGCAGTGTAGATTTCTGGGTTTATGTGCCTGTTCTTGTCCTTTCTCCGTATCTCTCTTGCTCTTCTGTTTTGGAGAATCTCCATTAGCGATAGTGTGGTCAGAGCGCTGAACGTCTCCTGGTGCAGGGGAAAGCAGGTGAGAGTAGAAGAGGGCAGAAGTTACACTTTGTCTCAGTTCATTGACGACAGTGTCGTTGGTTTGAAATAACTGCACCATTTAATGCTGCGTTAGCTGAACAAGCTTAGTCACTAATTGCGAATGCATTTTGAAATTACTGCCACTAGATCGATTCTGGCTAGATATTTCGTAGTGAGATGATCTATGCTATTAGAAGGCCACAAACCTTTTGAAATCACTTTAGGCAAAATGATGGCATGGGAATATCTGGAAGTGGTTTTAAGGAGGCTAACGCTCCTCAAACACGGCATGAACTCATCAAGCCTCTAGCTTTGCCAGCACAGTCTTATGCCAGCATATTAGAAAGCACAGAGGACTGTGGGCCACAAGTTGCAGTGAGTGGTGGGCATTTATCCCAAACGTAATCACTTGTACGTATGTCTTGCTTCAGGTTTTCTCAAGATGAATTAACTTTTTGGGGATATGAGAGAAAGAAGGGAACCTAGGGATGACTTGGTCTGGAGATGTGGGGTTTTCACGGAAGGCCCTTTGGGAAGACGTGAAATCTTATTAGAGCAGTACCTCTGTGTGATACGGGGTGAAGAGAGGCTGCTTACCTGCCTTCTGAGATGGACAGATATATATAGTGTTCCTTGAAGGCAGAAGGAAGTATATATTTGTGTATTCTTTAACTCTGTCACAAGTTCAGCAAACTCGGCCAAGTGCAGCCTCTGGAACATTAATTCCAGCTCGGGCAAAAGCCTAGACTTAAGGCAGCCTGCAAAATACTGTGTTTAGTAGCTGCCATAAAACCTCACTGTCTGTATCCAGGTACTGTCTGTATCTGTTTATTCCCAGCCGAACAGTTTGTCTCTTGCGTCTGTGCTCTAGCACACATAAGTATTTCCCCACTTTGTTTAGCAGCATCTCGGAACGTCTGCCTCATCCCCCTCGCGTGCTTCCTTCTGGGTGCTTGCTTAAAGGTCGAAAACGTATTAAACTAGATGTGTGGTGTGAAATGTGTGCTTCTGCTCAAACGCTGCTTCCAAAAAAGAGCAGACGGGACTGTTTAAAGTCTCTCAGAATAAGCTCTTTGTTTCAAGTGCAAGACTTCTCCAAAATGCAGAGGTCTGCGCTATACAGAGATGATCGTGGACGCGTTAGTTCTGGCATCGCTTCTGTAAAATTACTGCTAAGAGAAAAGCAGTTGTAAACCTGGCAGCTGACATAAGTCTATGTAGATCGTTAACCTGAAGCATGAAAACAGCAAGCAACTGTGCTGCGAGTTAGTGCTTGCCGGTGCTTTGCGTTCTCTTGCGCTGCTGCAGGTGCCTGGTGCCGGCTCGGTTTGAAGCCTCTGTCGCGGCTCGGCTACGAACCCCACTGCACGCGGTGGGGCTGTGAAGAAGTGCTTCTGTGGCTTCGTTCCGATAGCGTCAGACATCGCCCCTGCATTGACTTTGTCCTGTTAATTGGTATCCAAAGGAGAGCAGTTGCCTCCTGCCAAACTCCACTGGAATCCGTAGTACTCTTTAAATTGAAGCTAATTTACAAATGCAGATATGTTCTGCTGTTGTCTGCCATTCAGTGACCTGCTCTTCTGTTACTCTCTTTTGCGCTCTTCAGATATCCTTGTTTTTTCCTTCCTCCTGTGCTGAGCACAGCAGTTCTGTGCTTTGCAGACTTCTGGACTCGCAAGTTCTCGGATAAAGTGAATAATTGGATTCTACTCTGAATACTGCAGCGAACGTGTGCTCAGTTATTCTGCTCGTACAGATTCCTTGACTTAAAATGCTGCTAACCTTGGCCATCTTATAAAAATCAGATATCTGAGGCTTAACGTGTGCAAATTGACTGATTACTTTGGTAGTTGGTCAGGTGTGTGTGAAGTTCTGCCACGGTGGAGTGGCGAGAGCTTTGAGCCTCGGGTCTTCTGCAGTGAGCAGCTTGCATGGAACGGCCTAGAAATATATAGGAGAGCATATAATGACAGTCAACTCAGTCTTTTATTTTGTGCTAGAAAGCTGAAGCTGTAGATCTGAGTATCTTTCCCCTCTTGCCTGGGAAGCAATCATTTAGCCTTACCTGTGGGCTACTTTCAGTATTAGTCACGTGTTTTGTGCTGTCCCCTAGTGACAGCCATATATTCCCAAAGAAAAGCTGTTAGGAAAGCCTATGGAGGGGAAGATGCCATTTTCTACAGTGAGTTTGTTGCATACTGCGGTCTATGAACTGTATCATGCAGCGGTGTCAGTACCGTGGATGCTTTGGATAACATTTAAAGTTGCGGCCCCTGGCACAAGAATGTGGCACATACGTACGACTGTGTGAGACTCTTGGGTGAGTGGGTTTTTCTTTCATGTTTCTAGTACCCATGCTGTGAAGAGGAGTTTGGAAAATATAAAATCTGAGGGTTTGGCAATTGGAGTCTGAAAGGTGGATTTATCACTCCTCAAAAGTTGTGATTCAAAAATCCAGAATTTTTTTTTAAGGTGCATGGTGTATGATTTTTGAATGCTGAGCACTGTCAGCAGTGGGGATATTTTTATCCTAACGGTCTCTCTCAGTACTGTTTGCTGTACTCTGTGTGTTTAAACCTCCTTTTCTACTTCTGACCTTTCCGTACGGTGGCTTAGGAGCAAGCTTTCTTCTGGTCCCTAACTGAAGGCTGCACTTACAAATCTGAACGGTCTCACCACTTTCAAAAGATGAACAGGAGCTTTAGGACATGCTAATTCTAAAGGGAAGAGAGAACGAGGGAAAAGCTGAAGCCATAAAACTTAGTTGGTTTCTCTCTGTCTTAATGCCACAGATACTGCAAAGCTGGGTAGCTTAAACTCCATGAAAAGTGTGGGAAAGGGCAACCCAGTGGCAGCTTAGCATGCTAATTGTGGGCCATTTACCTGACAGAGAGGAGCTTTTTAAATTTTGCCTTTAGACTGCTGCTGTCAGAAGAGAAGCATCTTGTAAAGCTGTAGTAAATAAAGCTTGATACTACTTTTTTTTAAACCCATCCCTTAAATTTATTCCCAGGGGCCAGCCACCTGCGTAGCCTTCTCAAGAACGGGAGACTCGTTTGCTTCTGGAGGCTCTGATGAGCAGGTACGTGACAATCGTTTAAAAAATGATGACCGGTGTTAAACGTAGAGGTTTTTCTGAGGAAACATGCGAGCTGAATTAGTTGAGGGTAAGGTACATGCAACTTGATATACAGGCCTTGTTTCTTACATGCTTTTCTGAGGCATCTGCTTCTGGCTGTTGATGGACCCTAGGCTAGAGAGGGATAAAAATGGCTGTGTTGAGTCAGCCTGAAGATCTGTATAGCCCAGGATTGTCTCTGCCATCTGCCCCTGGCTAATTCTGAGGGAAAAGCATAAGGAAGAGGCAAGTGTGTAGAACTTCCTGTGAATACTCTTCCATGCTCTACTGATGTACAATGCAGAGTCCTTGTATTTCGTAGTTCTCAGTGTTCTCCTCCTCCCACAAGTCTGTCTTGTCAATCTCATTTGATATTAAGCCATCTCCAGTGCAGATGGTTTCATGTCTGATTGGGCACGCGCATAAGCTGCAAGTCTTCTGATTAATGGTAGCCTGCCGCAAAACGGTGCGAACGCTGCAGTTGCCCAGTGCTTTGGGTCAAAACTGGACTCCTCTCTGCTGAGCTCCATGTGTGCGCTGGGATTGAAAACCTGAGTATCTCATACTGCCGGTGCCCTTTGTGTGGAAGTCTTTTTTGTGTGGATGAAGCAGTTGTGTGGGTGTCTCTTCCTTATGCTTTCGGTTCTGGTTTGTAATCCAGATTCACGTTTCTTTAAAAAAGCTGCTGGATTTTATTTTCTGTTGTCAGCAGGGTGAAGCAAAAGCATGCCCGATATGTCTGAACCATCCTGAAGTGACTTGCTCTGTTCTTCGTAGCTGGTGACAGTTTCACGAGCTGTTACTTTATAATTCCTTTTTTTTTTTTTTTTATAGACCTGCTAAGAAGGATGGCATAGCTTGCCATCCTTGTCTCTTCAAGGCCCCTTTTTTATTTTAGCTTTTAAAACGGACCCTTTCAAAGGAGAGAGAGAGACAGAAGCACCTAGTTTTTTGTCTTATAAAATTATATTGGGGTCACTGTGTTAAGGTTTGCTCCCGAAATGCTTATCCAACACAAGAAATAAATGTGCCTTTCGCTACTGTTTCGTTCCCCCTCAAGAGCTGTGGTGATGCTGGAAGTGGCAGTTATATAGCAATTCATTGTTACTTGTATTTTCAATAGGAAAGAACTGCTTTGGAATACAAAATTTTATATCCAGCTCTGATGTCCGAAAAGCTGACTTTTGATTCCTCGCTTAAGAGGATGTCTTAGCCTACTTCTCTCCATTGTCTAAAGGACGTTCCTTTAAAAAGTTTTTGTTTTATCAGCTCCTCCTTTTTCTTTCCGTGGGTTGGCATCTCTATATATGAGGCAATGTTCACTGCAAACGAGAGTAACGTTTTCCCTTAAAATGTCTCCTGCTACTGTTAAAATGAGACAGTGGACAGTAAAGCTTCTCCCAGAAAGATCCTTTGTAAAAAGCGATGTTTATGGCATTGCCCACATACTAACTTTTCTGGAAGCCAGTTCAGCTACAGCTTGAAGTTACATACCTTTCTGAAAGTGTATATTGGGAAGACTGGCTGTAACGTTCCTGTTCTTAGCTCTCTTGTTGGAATTGCCTCCCTCCTGTTAGGTTTGTATCTGAAAATGCAGACGATGCTCCCTTTCATGCATGGAGCAAAAACTTTAATGTGCGGTATATGTATGTATTAAAAATAGCATTAGTCTGAGGTTGCTAGCTTTGTACTTTAAGAAGCCTTTTCATTTGAAGGGACCTCGCTGAACACTAGCTTTCTGGACCCAAGAGAAGTAATGATGATGATCAAGAAAACCTCTACAGGTCGGGGAAAGTTATTTGTGAAGGAGTTTAAATATGTAGTGTTTATGGCCCATTGGAAAAGACGTTTAATGAGCTGTTAACTGGCCTTTTGTAGGCGTCCCTTGAAACCAGGAAGAGTCATTTGCACGCTATGCTGCAAATATGTGCTATTAGCATGGGTGGCCCTGCTGAAGGTATAGACAGACTTCGATGCCAGTTAGTGGTATCGGTATGCAGCCATTTTTGTCATGTCCTCGCTGAACTGTGTTGCGTTTCTCTTAATCCCCGTGTTACTGTGTAGCAGTGGCTGTCTTTGTAGTAGCACCTTTCTCACTGTGAAGACACGATCTGTACAGCAGAAGAGCATCGTCTTTTCTTCTGTGGAATGGCCTAACTGGATGAACGTGCAAGTGCACAAGAAAATTCCCTGTACGTTTCACAGAAAGGGGAGTCAAAAACTTGTGTCTGAAGCATAAACGTTGATATTTCTTACAACTGAAACTACTCAGATTCATAAATGTCTTTCAGACTTAAGAAACAGTTGATGCATACTCTTTTTTTAGACTTTTAGTTTTTCATGGCCAAGGATTTTGCTCCATAGATTTGCTCTTGATATGTTGAAGTGGTTGATATATTGGAAGGGGCCCAGTTCTAACTCTTCATCTCTTCTAAAATAGATACTTATTGCATTATGGAGAGAAAGTGCCTATATGTAGGATTTACTTTTGGTAGCTAGTTGGCAAAACAGCTTAACATCTCTAGAACTAGTCTCAAAGTACTAATCTCTCCTTTCTCTGAGAATGAATCTCTTCGGGGGGGGGGGGGACCCCCAAGCACTAGCCGTTTGGTGTGTGGCTGATAAGTGCTATAATGGAGGACACAATATTTTAATATACTCGTGGTTTAATGGTATATTCCGCATGTTGCTTAGTGCCATGATGTTCCTGACCAAAGGAATGGTGGACGAGGTCATTTACCCACTGAGAACTCAGTTATGCTACATCTGTGTTCAGTAACATATTTACAAGTAAGAATCTTTAGTTTAGTTCCTGAGCCCTGGTTGCCCAGAGAGGTTGTGGAGTCTCCATTTTTGGACAGACTCAAAAGCTGTCTGGACACAGTCCTTGACAGCCTGCCTAGGTGACCCTACCTGAGCAGGGGGGGGTTGGACTAGATGATATCCGAAGGTCCCCTCCAACCTCAACCTTTCTGTGGTTCGATCAATGGCAAACCTGTCTTTGGTAAGCTTTTTGTGTGCGTCGGCTGTCTCTTCTCTGCTGTGGTGACAAAATTGACCTTTAAGTAAAGACGGACTGAAAGTTTTGATACAGTTCACTTAGTAACTTGCCTTTCTTCTGCAGGTAATGGTATGGAAGACTAACTTTGATGCAGCAGATTATGGTGATGTGCTGAAAACACAGAAGTCTGGCGCTAGTGCGGATGGGACCCATCACAATCTGGTAGGTCAGCATAACTTCATCGGTGCTGACTGTAGACACTTCAACTTCCATAGCTTATTTTCTGCTACTGTAGTGCAAGAATTTACTTATCCAGAGTTCCTTGCCTGAAAGCTTTCTTTAACTTACAAAACGTGTAAGTATTTCAGGCAGTCAAACTATAGAGCCCTCTTATTCTTTGGTATTAATTTGAGCTGTATGAAGTCTGTTACTAATGAATCTACTATTATGTCTTTTTCTATAAAGTAAATTGCGATTGAAGAAAAGTATGTGTAATGATGTGTTAGAAAAAGGAGAATGCATGTAGTGCGTTTATATGCATTTTTCACTGCATTCAAGAATTTGTGGTAGGTTTGGACAGTATTATACCTGAGGGAGTCGGGGAAGCCCAGATATCAGTAACAACTGAAGTCAATTTTGAAATGAATCCTTTAGGCTGCTGTCAGTCTTGAAAACAGATGTTGTTCAAATTTTTTTTTTTGTTAACAGCTAACAGAGACAAGACGTCTGTGCAGAGACTTAACATAAGTTAGAAATAGGTGGCATAGGTACAAGAGCTTTGTTCTAAAATATTTGGAGGCATCGGTATCTGTACACACACCTTCCCTGAATCGTGTGTGGAAAGACTATTCCTAGTGGATGAATACAGCAGCTGAATAAATCAGTGTGATGCACTGGTATGAGTGGAGTATTGATGTTGGACATCGTGACTATTACAAAAGTAACTCTTTAAGGTTATTGACTCTAGGAGTTAGAATTTTTGCACGTAGTGGTGCTTCACATAAGTTCTTATTTTGTGTCGTATCACTCTTTGGACTCTCTTAATGTTTGAGTATACCTGTAGGATTATAGAATATGTTGTTACAGCAGCTGTGTTTTGGTACATCTGCTTCAATATGTATTGCAAGCTAAAAATTAGCTTGTGAACTAGTAGGTGTAGGCATCTGTGGTATGCCTTAGTTGAAAGGTGAGCCTTTAAGTAACATCTGTTGCTTTGTGACAGTATCCATAATCTTATCAGCTTAGCTCTTCTTTAGTGGGCTATGTTCTCTCTCAAATATAGTAGTGTTTTTATTTTCACAGGACTTCAGTCTGTTGCTGGAGGTGCTAGAATAGCTGTAGTGTTTTGTAACAGACAGGATGCTAGTCCAACTTGTTACAGCTGTGAACCTGATGCCTCACAACGTGGAGTGCTCTGTCAAGAGAAGCCGTAAAGGCAGAGAATGCAAATGCGGGGTGAGAAGGAGCGAAAACTAGAAAGCGATCATAAAGAGAGGGAAGAGGTAAAAGTCTGTATTGGTCCTTGGCTAGATTTGGCTAAGACTGACGCCTCCCTTTTCCTCTTCTCCTGTGTCCTAACCCTAAAGTTATGCAGGCCATGAAACCAGTGACCTCTTTGTTTATTAGCCCGTTGAGCTGGACTAACTTTTGACTCTATCTGCTTTAATTTCAGATATTCTGCATAGTATAATTCTGGGCTGCAATGTAGCAGAGACAGAGAAAGCCTTTATGGAAGAAATACCATTTTCAGTAGGTAGTATTCCTAGCAATAGCATAAATAGCGTTGACAAGGTATCCTCTATAATATTACAGTAAGATTACCCCACTCTGTACTGCCGTTATTACCAGAACGTGTTATTTAGTGGTAATTGAAGGAAGGGAAAGAAATGTCTTCTCTTCTAAAATTCAGTTAGTTCTGGCATCTCTAGCAGCAGGTGGTAAGGTAAGGTATTGAAGGTAGCGGCTGAACCAAACCCTTGAATAATGACTTCCCACCCCGAACATCTGTCCCTCCACTGACGTTCCCCTGTGGAGAAGGGCTTACTTGGCAAACTTCCAGCGGATGCTGATGGGACCAACTGTTTGTATTTGTGTACTCCTGAGAAGCAAGTCCATGTCGTGTATTGTTGATTGACGAGGATTTGCTGTACTTGTGCTGTGAGCCTGCGGGAAGCTGGGAACTGCAAATTCTGAGAGGCATAATAAGTTGGGTTGGACTAGGTGCTGTGTTTTTACAGACGGCAGAGTGAATCCGTGTTGAAGCATGCCGAAGAGACGTACTTTGATCTGGGGACCTAAATTGCTTCGAAGTCGTGTTTGAACTGACACCCGAATGCCACCTTTGGCTTGGGCCTGCAGCAAGGGAGCTGCTGTTCCCAGTGGTAGTACCTGACTAAAAAGCGTGGGAAAGTTCTTGTGTTACATGTAACTTCTGGAAGATCAAACTGAGAGTGATAGTCGATGGGATTCTTCCTTCTCATATTTATTCCTGGGGCAAATGCGGTGTTATGTTTTGGTCTGAGCAGTACAAATGGTGCTTCCAGGAGATCTGCCAGTTTAGCTATGAGCATGAATAGAGACCTGTAAATTAAACCGCTGCCTGCCTTCCGCAGTAAAACTGGCCCTGGATAAATAGCAGTGGTGGAGGTAGTAGTAATGGCGAGCTCTATGGGTGCTAGCTGGCACAACTAGGTCAGATCGTTTGTTGAAGCAATTCAACAGTGTGACCTCTTTTTCTGTGCGGTTCTTCTCGCCTTTTACGCAGCGGTTAGGAACATTATGGTTTTGCCGTGGAAGTGTGATGCGGCTCTGTTCTGCTATAAAGAAATGGGCTTTTAATTCTTGTCTCTTAGGCTACGCAATCTGATCTGTGCTGCCAAAACCCAGATAGTATAGTGTTAATTTTGGGTGTGTGTGGGGGGGGGTGTTAGCCACACTGTGGCTGTCTACTACAAGACCGATCATATAGCATGCAAAAGTGGACCTATACAGTCTCTGCTAATGGCTGACTAAATGAGAATGTGGAAATGCAAAGTAAGACAGTCCTTGATATCCTTGCGTTTTAGTTTACGAAGAATGCAACATTCAATCAACTGTGTTAATATAAAGCTAGAAGGGGAAGATGCAGAATGAACAGTGTAGTCTAAGAGCTTGTATTTAATCCCGGGGGTTAAGTTTAGCTTTAGCATTTATATGATATATTCTTAATTGTTGAAAAGAAGCTAATAACTCTGAAAACGGCTTGGCTTATTATTTTAAGGAATGTGCATATAAATCAAACATGGAAACTTTGACTCCATAATAAAGTGTCCATTCATGGCAGTCCAATTTTTTTCTTTCAAGCAAAGTTCTTTGGTTTTTATCTTTTAGACATGTGTTATGTTAGGCTCCTTTTAACAAACACTGTCACTGCTGCAGCTTACAGTAAGACTTATTTCACTATATAATAGTCTTCAAAAGGGCTTCACTTTATTTTAAGCAAAATGTTTATTTTTAAAAATGAAATACTTATGCAGGTGGATTTTGTGTAGTTGAGGTCAGCTTTATTTCTCCTGCTTCTCTCCCGTCAAAATTAAACTGAAAACTGTAACCTGTGGTTTTGGATTCATACTGAGGTCACCCTTTCCTTCAATGAAAAGGGAAGCTGGTTCATCTCTTCCTCCGCTGCCGTGTTGCTGTGCCAAGAATCTGCTTCTTAAATAAGACTGAGATTTTGCAGACGTGCTTTTAAATGCAGCTATGCCCCAAAGTCGTGTCAATCATTACTCCTTTTCAGTGGTCTTTACATATGTGGACATTACTCTTGACACATCTTGAATCATTATTCACCTTTACTGAAGTCAAAGAGAATCCATGTTCAAGGAGAGCTTATGCTGTGATGTAGCGCTGTGTGTGGTTCCCCCACCTTCTTAAGCATTGGGAAAGCATGAATACTCATTAAAACAGTGGCTGTGTAAACACGCTCCGTTTTGTATCCAGTTTCTCGGGGGGAGAGTCAGTCTAACGTGCAAGCACCAAGAAAGAGCAACTCAACGCAGACATGAAAATTAGCTTGTCGTTGAGATGGGTAGGAAGAAAAAAAAGAGTCCGAAGTAATGAGTCAGGTAAAAGGGGCATGAAGTACCGTCAAGGTTGGTGAGCTTGAAAACAGACTTGCTCTCAAATGATTTTCATTTCAATAGCTAGATGAAGATTGCAGCTTTTGGAAGATGATAGTTTCTCAGGCAGTTGGTTGAAGTTAATTATGACCCAGGGTATTGGGCTTGTTCGCAGCAATAGGTGTGAGCTTGAAAGTTACTCTGCCCACCTGCTTGCTTTTTCTGTAAATATGAGGTGTGGGAGATTCCTTAGTCCCTGCACATGGCAGTTTTTTACTTTCAAGGCAGGATGCAAGTGAAGGAGGAGGCCATGAGGAGCAGGAATTACACACATGACTGTGGTATAGTAGACGTAGAGAGGAAAGTGATGGGGAATACTAAAAGCTGCCAGCGGTAAATTTGAAGTATATTTTAGTGTAGATGCCAGAATTCAGAGATTCTGAACGCTAGATCAGAATGACGGTGGTTCAGAAATGAATGCTGTCTTATAAATTATCGACTAATAGTTGCTGCTACTAAGTATTGAGAAAGTGCCTTGCAAGCCCAAGCTAGGGGCAAGCACCCTCCATATATGCTCCCTAAAGCTCATAGGAAGAGATGATGTCTTGCAGTCCTGTATCTTGATCCTATTGGCCGTTAGGTGTTTGCTTTGATCTAGATGCTAAGGAGTCAGAATAAATTCATGCTTTAAGCTGAAATACTGAGTGGTGAGGACCTAAAGAAAGTTGGGATGTAAGGCATGGATTTTGCATGTGTTTTCATATACGTGGAGTCATATGCCTGTCCTTGAGCTCAGTAATTCTGTGTGAACATAAGGGTCTGTGTGAAGTGTTCTCTAGGATTAGAGCAAAGAACCTATCAAACCCAAGAACGTTTACTTGGGATGTATAGTCTTTAATCCTACAATGTAATCTTTCCAGAGAGTAGATAACCGTGTTTTGTTTTGGTTTTTTTCTCTCAAATATAAGGAGAGTTTTCTACATCCATTTACAACTGGCCTGAGTGTATAAGAACACTCATTTCATTATGTGATAGATTTGCTGCTATCTTTAATGGAGTGGAGGGCCTTCACATCTCCAAAAGACAGTGAAAGACGCAGTTTGCAAGTGTTGCATGTGCTTTGTT